AGGGCCAGATGCTTATTTCTATAATTGGATATGTACAAGAAAGCACAAAAACAGAAATATAGTAGTGGAATAGACTCATTACAGCTGAATGTACATCTCACAGCTTATGTGTGAAAAGCCCATGTCTCTTTCCTAAATGAAAACCTGCCACTTCCTCTGAGCTCCTGAAGACATGCTGGTCAGGTTAATTGGTATCTCTTAACAGTCCCTGTGTGTGCATGTGTGTGTGCTCCTATTGCACTGCAGGAATCCAGGACGTGCTCCGGGTTTCCTCTACATTTACCAGGAATAAGCAGTTTTCTGATAATCGATGGGTGGAAACTTATCAGTACTTCACTACCATCCTGCAAAACTGGCACCAAATAATAGGAGGTGATACAGTACACTGCAATAGCATTGTTCTTTTTATTGACAAAAAATGGCAAATAACTGGGAGCTTTTTACGTGTTTTTAATTACTGGTATGAACCTTGTTTTTTTCATGGTAACCGTGTACCAGGATGGTTTTTCAGCTTATTTATGAGAAAACAAAATGAGGAAAGACGTTCCTCAAAGGAGATGTTAAGAGTGAACCAAAATCTGAACTTGACACACATGAATATGAAATTGGTTAGATTTGTTCTTTAAATAAACGTACTGTAAACCACCAGTCTCAAACATTAAAAGTCAATGAAACCCTGTTTCTGTACACACATTTATAAGATACTGTACATGTGTTCCTACAGTTTATGTGAGCATTGTGAACTAGTATATTCATTGTCCAATACACCAGCCTTTCAATAGTGGAAAAGCACAGTGCGGCTCACAGTGTAACCCTATTATGACAGACACTGTAGGCTGTGCTCCAGGATGAGCCCAGATAAGCTTGCCTTATTATGTTTACCACTGGACGAATAACCCTTATTAGGAGATAACACAATCACTGACAAGACTAAATAAACAAAAGGATTTATTCCTTTCCGGCTCACAAAAAAACAGTTATAATGAGACTTAATAGCGTGACTAAGCAAAAAAAAAAGTTTGGGATACATAGACCTGCTTTTTCTCAAGAGGAACCACAGGCTGTCTGACATTATTTTAGGAGTAATACAATCAAAAGCCAAACAAGAATATACATAAACATTCATTCCAGATAATGTCTGTGTAATATTGAGGAAATCTCTAAGGATCATTTCAAACTGTTCAAAACACTAAAAGAAAACAAACCCATGAACACATAAAATTTCTGACTGGTGAGCTCTGTCCCAGCATGCTATATGTAGCATGCAAACTTCTCCATGGCCCTGCTATACAGTATGTGTGAACTCCGTTAAATCTGCTAATATCAAATTGTTCTTCATCTGTGTGTACAGTACCAAATTGAGCAAAGAATACTGTACATCTAAACCCTATATTTTATCTATAAGAATCCCCAAGTAAATAACCAAATGCCCAAACCATGATTCTGGTGCAAAAATGCCATACTAGGTTAGTTCTATAAACACAACCCATCACCCAACCAACAAGATGTATTTAAAATATCTCATATTTTTCTAATTTAGAGTACTATGAATGAGAACATTCAGTTAAAAATTAGAACATTTTGAGAACTTTTTTTCCAATGTAAAGTAAATGCCACATCTGTTTAATCATAGCTAGGGAGATAGCTAGGATTGAAATCAACAAGCAGCTGTTAATGGATTCGAACTGACCATGGCTTTCTAAGATGACAACCATTAATATCTTGAATTAAATGCTTCCATTTAAGGTGCATGAGCAAGAAAACCTTATGAAAAATGTCCAGTCTAAACAGGAAAACATCACAGCGAGAGCACCCCCTACAGGAAGGAAAAGGAAACACACCTTGGTTATACAAAAATGAGAATAAACATTTTCTCCCAAGGATATTCAGAACACTTTATGACAGGGACAATGTGGTGACTCAGGAACCTTAACTCAAGTCCCACTGCAGGTTAGATTTTGCTTTCAGGATGATACTTAAAATCTCCAACAAATCTCTGTTGCAGTATCACATGTCAAAATACATGTCTAAATGTGCTCAACCTACTGTACAGTACCTCTTCATCTCTCAGTGCTGTGACTTTTGAACAGAGACCACATGGTTTCCCACACCTTCCTAATGAAGGAACACGACTCACTGCTGAGCAGCATTAACATACACACTCAGGGGCTTAGAGTGCCAGTGACTCATGTCGTCAACTTGTGCTCCAGATGCCACACAACCTTGTCTTGGTGTCGATTACGTTTACAAAAGACAGGACCCACCTTATACAGGCTTAATTGCCTCATAAAACAGCACCAAGGGCACAACAAGTTAAAATCCTAGAGGTCCGGAATGAAAACACAGGAAGAAAATGACAAGTAGGAAAAACGACTGCTCTGTTCTGTGCATGTTAATTCCATAAATTACACTGCAAGTTACACTAACATAACATTTTTAGCCCCTAAACCTTGAGAACAGTGATAAATATTTTACTTCACTTTATTACTTTGTGTTGTGCTTCCTGCTGCTACATATTCTGTCCTTAATGATAAAATAGGTCACCAGGTAAATAAGAGTTAGAGTAAGAATAATATAAGCATTATTTTACTAGTCAATAATTTCCAGAAGTATGATTGGATGCTTTATGAGAACACATGCTTACTTCCATCCACTTATCCATTTCCTAACTTTTTTATCTAATACAGGATTTCAAGGGAGCTGCAGCCTATCCCAGCAAGTAACAGGCACGAGGCAGGATACACCCTGGATGGGATGCCCCTCCATCTCATGGGACACACAAACACGCACACACTCACACCAGGGCCAGTTTTCCCAGAAACGTATTGACCCACCAGTATGTGGGAGGAAACCCACGCAAACACGGCAAGATCACACAAACAGATAGCCAGACAGATAGCACCTCAGGAATTGAACCCAGGGCCCCAAGGCTGTGAGGCAGCAATGCTAAGCACAGCACCATCATGCCACCTTCACATGGTTACTTTTTAGTTTCAAAATACTTATCATTGCCTGAAGACAGAGTGTTGTCAGTTTTTCACCTTTCAGAAGTTGCACAGCCAAGTGAGAATTTGAAGGACTACATGTTGCTTGTGATTTGTAAATAAACAACTATTTCCCCTCTCTTTCAATGCCAAGAAGAATGTCTAGACAATTACACTGCTTATTCATATTTGAAAACAGACATGAGGCAGCTCCTAATGTTTCCTGTATTTTCAAAGAAGTTTTGCAGATCTACCCTACCTGAATTATCCATTTCACATTTGGCACATCCTCAATGCTAGCTGGGTCCTTCTTACGCACAAGCTCAGTGACACAAGACTAGTGAAATATGAGGGGACATTTAACAAAAAACGCACGAGGCACAACTTAATACTTCTATCAAGAATATCTTCTCAAATTTTTGGAATTGGTACTGTGTTTAGACAAGTGAACTATGAACTAAATGAAAACTTGTTAGAAGCTTTTAATAAAGCCCAAAACGAAAACTGTTACGCAATTCTCATAAGTATTACTTGCTGTTGTCACAGCCAAAGGGTCACAAAGTTATCTTTGTAAAATATTTGCTGTAACATAGACCAACAGACAAAGAAATGTAAATAATGGCATGGCTGTTTAGGCCCAATGTTAAATAAAAGAAAACAGAAATCACCGAAAGGTAATTTTATTATGTTTTTACAGTTTACTTGCAATAATTTGGGCATCTTTGTCCTTAGCAATGAATGACAAAATGGCAACACGAGCTCAGTCAGGGAATGGCTACGCTGCACAGATCAGGAGTCAAACCAGCCTGTGGACGCTGCATACTGTACTTTCCGTAGTGGGTTATTTATGAGGCTCCTGCAAAAGTGAAATCAATTACCTTTTCCAATTTCAAAGTTTATATACAGTGCCCCAGTGATCCCAAACCACCTTGACAGAGCTGGAGAAAGTCTGCAAAGAAGAAAGGGTGGACATTGCACTATCTCGTTGTGCAGAGTTGGTCGAGACTTATCCAAAAACACTCACAGCTGTGATCGCCGCCTAAGGAATTTGACAATTCCACTAGGAATTGACTTGGGAGGGGGGGGGGGGGGGTTGAATACTTATACAATCAGCATATTTTAGTTTAAGATTTTTCTGGGTACTTTTTACTGACATTTAACCAATAAAAGTCCCCAGTTTGATCATTTATACTTGATTAAAAAATATTCATTTATAAATATGCACCATTTGTAAGTAAACAAAATTGCAAGGGGGTGAATACTTTTACAAGGAACTCTATATATACATGTGGTAGGTGTAGTTCCATAGCTACAGGTCTTAACTGTGGTCATAAACCAATAACATTATTTTTGGCCCCATGCTTTGATGGACAGAAATTACCATTACTGTACATGTGTTGCAGGGATGCAAGCTAAAAGGCACCTGAGATGAGGAAAAAAATTACCTTGTCAATTATGTTACCAAAATACAAGCGGCTATGTAAAGTGGTCTTCCACCAATTATACAGACCACCTGAAGTTTCCCTGTTATAACTCGTGTTCTCATTTAGGAAGAGTGTCAAGTGCAGTAACACGTGCCTTTTCTTTCAATAACCTGTAACTGCATTATACAGTAGCTCCACTTGAAACAATGAAAGACGTCTTGATCCCCCTCCTGGGACCCAGCACCAGCAGAAAGTGACCACTGACTAATAATCTTACTGACATGAAAACACATTACCACTCAGAAGCACCTTCCAAACTTATACTGCACACAAAATCCACAACAAAACTGAATGACACAATTATTCCAATAAGCCTTGAAATGCCTCACAAACGAACTCATTACAAGATGAATTCAGCCATGCTAGTTGCTACACAAATGAAGAGATGCTAAGAATAATCCGCAAAAGCTCATTATAAGCTGCTGAAGTGTCGCACAGTGTGTCTGTGGCAGAGGGTGTCTATGAGAACGAGACCTGCACCGTAGAAACCATCTGCAGCTAAGCCCTTCTTTAACGGCGGCACGCAGCCTACCTTTCAGCATGGTTCTGCCGGTGGAGCCGGTGATGACGCCTGGCAGTCCACTGCGTGCTCCTACGGAAGTCGTGGCCTCCAGCAGGGCCCCGGTAATGTGTCCGGAGACGGCTGTTCTTTGCAGAGTGGCGCGGTAGTTAGGCAGCACGCTACAGGCACATGGCTGGATTTCGTAGCAACCTCCAGCGCGGCAGCCGGCAACTGCTGAGGCCAGGAGCTTTCTGGAAGGATGGAGCAGGTTTCCGCAGCCCCCTTCCCCCTCTCCACCCCTCAGCGCATCGTGGATCTGTGTGCAGAGAAACCATCCCCGGGCGTTAACGACCACTTCAATCAAAAAGCACCACCTCACCTGGCGAGAGAAACTCAGCTGAAGATCTACTGCTTCACAAGGAGTGAGAGGGGACAGAAGAGCCTGATAAAGAGAGAAAACTCCTAAAAATGGCACAGAGCCGTTCCATGCTTTAATTAGACTGACCTTCAGTGATGTGAAAAGCACATCCTCATTACTAGCTACTGCAGGTACCGTTTGTCCCCAATTAGATTGTAAAATATTTAATGAGTTAATGAGCCACTAGGTGGCCTTCAATCAAAGAACATACTGGAAAAAATGTCTTCAGTGAAACTGCACTGTAAATCTAACTATAACAGTATATGTTATCCCATAATAACATAAGAAGCAAATTCAGTGGGATAAAGTGCTTTAAATGCTGGATAAATTAGATTTAAGCTTATTTTAGTGCAGTATCAACAATCAAATGGACTCAAACCTGGCCTTCAAGGATAGTTCTCCAAGTAGTACTCCCTACTCAGCATTTGTAGCGCACAAGTGGAAAAGTGCTGGATAATTTATGGAGGTTACAGTCCACGGCTCGTTAAAGCTTATTCATACATGAGATCATTAAAAGGGGCAGCAATATTGTCTGAGGTCGTTCTTGGCGGTCAGCTGAGGAATGGTTATTACATTTTCAATCCAACATTTTCCACCAGAACTGAAAAGATCACAAATATAATTTCTGCACTGAACTACACGGAGTATGTCAATACATTGAAGTTTAACAAGTAGTTTTATTTTCTGTGCCATATCATCTGCTTTCAAAATGTATTAAATGTATGAAAATCTGTATCTGGATGGTTAAATAGTTAAACAGTTAAGAATAACAGTTAGTTATTCTTAAAAATTCAGGTCTGAATAAGAGGGAAAAGAATACCAGTTATTTTGAATTAGTAGTCCAAAAACACACATCAGTCTGGCCTATATTGCTGTTAACGCGTGTTAAGACAAAATATTCTGCTATGCCATTCTTCTAACCCTTAGGAACATTGTCTCAATGCCTATTTTCCATTGCTTTTCACAGAGCGGGTTTTTTTTTCAGACTGAAGAACTTTTCAGTTCTTTACTTTGAAAAGATCTATAACCTGTTTTTATCACTGTCACAAACATTATAAAACCAGATGCATCCAAGTCTAGTTTTCCCTTTCACACTGCTCTGCTTGAATACATTTTTCCAATATCCTTTTCCAAAACATTTGTAAAGTCATTTCACATTTAGTTCCTTAGCAACTAATTCACCACTGTTTACTGTACAGCCTTGGAAAAATTACTAATGGACATAATAACTAACAGCCAGCACCTCGCTGAATCTAACATAAAAGGCAACTCATTCTAGATATTCGTCCTAAGCACTTCCAGGTGGAGGGACATTCCTGGGCTTAGATCATTCATCAGCCAATACTGGAAAAGACCCAATCTGCGGTACAGTACTGTATCACATGAACACTGCCAAGACACAATGAAGAATAAGATCACTGAAAAAGCTGAAAAATGAAGCTTCCAAATCAAGCTTCCTCTACTACTTGCTCAAATACCACTGCTGGTGTTTTGTCCACTTTCCCTCTGTGGGATAGTCACTAAAGCATAAAGTGCACTATGGCCTCGAGTGCCCAAGGCCCCATCAAAAGTAAAGGTTTTGGGGGAAAATGTTTACATACAGTAGCATAACTACTTCCTGAAGTCCCAATCACTTAAACAGTATGTGCAAATTTTAGCCATATCAACTACTACAACATCAGTCTACAAATAATGTTAAGATACACATCATTTTTCTCTCGCGAGGCAGGGTATCTTTCTAAAATACAAGATAGGAAAATTCTGTCTGCAGCCAAGAGACTGTGGTGAGAGATTAATGAAAACCCAAGGAGACACTTTGGAAGGGTTGTAATGTAAACTAAAATTGAGACCTGTCTCAATCATTTTTTTGTATTCAATGTGAGAGAATGTGCTTGATGAACTCTAAAACCGAGAACACTTTCTTTTTGCTTATGGAGTGTGGATTCAGTGTGTTCTGCACGCAGATACTATTTACTAACAAACATACATTCATCAGGGCTGTAAGCCCTATGCCAGTAGCTATTAAATGAAGTTACATATTGTATAATCTAAAAAAACAGGATGTTTTGCATGATTCTCCAACGATGATGTATGAGACAATATCTTTCATGTTTCAACGGGGTCTTTTTTTGCCAAGAGCACCTAAGTAGCGTCTCCCAAACAGGCAAACTCTTGGGAAACTGGGAAAAATAAGGATGTAACAGAAAGAGTGATTGTACTGTATTTCTCCATTATTTTAAGATAAAAGTCACCAAATTCTACCTTATGTATAAACTTCTGCCTAGCATTATTCGAAAGTTCTTTCAAGTCTAGATGGATCTCAGCGGGAATCAAAAACCTATCTGTTGTATAGGTCAACCTATCCTGACACTTGGATCTCCAATTTTCTTTTATTTATTCTCTCCAACAGCTTCAGCTTACAGAAGCCGGTTAGGTGTGAAGAGGTTATTATTTTTACATTACTCACCCAGAGAATAATTTGCAGAAGTACTCATTTAATACTAGTCCAATCAGTGCAAATCTTCGGAGCAGTCTGACCCAGCTCGTAGGCCCACACTGTGTCAGTCATCATGGAAAAATACCATCCAGCTGGATAGACAGCCTTCTTCATTCAGCTTCAACTTCCTAAACTTTGTGGACAATCAAAATGTTCAGGGCAATAGATTCCTGAATGACTCAAGGAGTAAACGTGCTGAGTTAGAGCACAGGATTGTCACGATCGTTACTCCTCGTCTTAAGGGCGCTCCAGCCCTTCCTCGTTCTGTCCCATTCCCCACACCTATTCCTTATTCCAGCCCCTCTTTAGTTCCACCTTTAAAGCCAGACGCAGGCGATTGCTCGGGGCTTCTCATTGATTTCCGTGTCGTGAGAGCCCGGGGTCCTGCCGCGTCTGGCTCCGTTATGGTTTTAGTTTCCTGTTCCTGATTCCCTGCCCCGCCGGTCCCGGCCCGGTTCTGGTTTTAACTACGGATGGATCCCCTGGTCTTGGACTAAACCTCCCGTCTTGGATTCCCCCTCTGGATTTACCTTTGGATTGTTCGCCCTGGATTCACGCCCCCCGGACACTAGCACTGCATGGACACGCCCCCCTGTCTCCTGACCGACTCCTGCATGATATTTTTCCCTATTGTTTCTTCACCTTTTGGATCGTGTCGCCCGCATAGGGCCCGGAAAGAACTGTTCCTGACAAGGATGAGGTCTATAGTCCAGAGTATAATGGTTTGAGTCTAGGGCCTAGGCCATGTCATCATACCAGCATTCCCTAAGCTGTGGTACACAGCTGGAGTTGCCAGAGCTATACTGGGTTCCAGCAAGCTTCAGCGACATTAGTGAGAGATAATGTCACCTTAAATTGGTGCTAAACCCTATTTAGCTACTGTAAAGCTTACAGAGTGTCAAACACTGAATGTTTTCACAGCGCTTTCGGGGTTACTAAAGCCAGATGCTACAAACATTACTTGGGGAATGCAGACAATTCAGCAGATGCTAATCAAAGAATTCCCAATTTTGGCTAATCTAAGCCAAGGTATCAGAGAACGAGAGAGAGCTCAGCAGGTCAGATGGGCATGTTGATTACTCAACAAATGTGTGTCTCTGCTATTGTAAAACACAAATCATGACATAATTCCTGTACAACTATTATATTTTGCCCTTGTATAGGGCTTTTCATCCAAAAGGATCTCAAAGTTACAGTTACAATAGGAACTCACCTGAATCACCACATTAGTGCAGACTCCTGCTAGCATGATGTGTGCCTGCAATTCTGTATCAGCTCACAACACAAAGGTGACACTTAATTTTACTATGGCAACTTTCCTTGTGAGTATCAGATTAAAGACATTAAAATCCAAGTATTTAAGGATTTTAAAGGGGAGCTACAGTACATTTAAAAGGAACCCCGTTAACTAGCAGCACTGCCAAACAAAAAAGGCAAAACACTAGTAAAAAAGTCTACTTCCTTACAAGTAAAAAGAGTAACATTTACAGTCCACATTTCAAACATCAAGCAGAGTTCATGCCGACTAAGAAACAGAGTGCTGGCAGTCCCAAGGACCACAAGCAGCAGTCAAGAACACGCCGTTCTGAGCATGAAGTGGCAAGAGAGAAAGTTCAGAGTTTAGATTGCACTTGAAGTACCCTACTGTATACAGCAAGTCCATATTTGAATGAAACTTGGCCCATGGCTAAACCATCTGTGATGGCTATAAAGGTACAGTGCAGGGGTGTCTGAGGTTCCCTGAGTTCTTTACAGAGAGCGACGTACAAATTCTCACAAAATGGTTCCATTTTCTTTTGGAAAAGAAAAAAACTAATAATACTGGACCAGTAATGCCAAATGTAAAAACACAAAGTGACGACAGGATGATGGGGGGTTTTAAATGGCATCATTTTCACCAATGTTTTTTTAAGAAAAAAATAAAATGTCTCAACTGCCTTCTGGGTTCTCGGTCCAGTTCTCAGCTGCAAGGGAAGCATCTGTTAACATTAAGCACATAAAAAGGATTCACGCTCGAAAAGATTCAGATCCATGGTTTTACTTCCCCCAGTTTAATCTTCTTAATAAAATCTACTTTTAATCTGCTAAAATTTTAGATAACTGTATATTGGTTTCTAAAATCTGAACAACATAAAAGGTTACCTGACCTCCCTCAATAACAAAATCTACAGTAACAATGAAAACCTCGGAATTGTAGCCAGAGTCGGCCTTGAAGTGGCACATACGTCATGATACCATTTTTATTTCAAGGAAAATTGACTAAGAAATCTCTTCTTGGATGTCGGCTGTGGTCTGTGCACTTGAAAACCTGACTTAAGTGGATTATTTCCACAGCAACACGGGATAAAATGGCTTTTAATAGCTTTTGGTTACTTCAGCCTCTCTCTCATTTTATTTCTGG